ATGCTTATGGGGTCCCATTCGAGCTTGGTTATGCCATCCATGGATTTACCCGGGGAACCCCCAGGTTTTGTCCCTTCCACAAGGATTTTCATTTGCTTTTCCATCCATTTGCATCGATTTTGGATCGAACTAGATTCTGGTTTGCACCCATTTTCCAGGTTTTCCCCAGGTCACGCCTCGCTGTTTCGCCGAGCGCCGGCCGCGTTGTTCGCTCCGGACTTCGTCTTTGTGGCGTCGCACGGCGAGGAGGCGGAGCTGAGACCGGTGCCCACCACCCTGGCGGAGCCCTTGGCGCGCTTGCGGAGCGGCACGCAGGCGCGGGGACCCGGGGACCCGCGGCTTGTTGAGGCGGTTTTTTCGGCGGGGCGTTGGGAGCGGATAGGAAATCCGTGTAGAAACTCGGATGGACATACTCGATGATTGTGATGTTGTTTTTTCCCCAACAGCTGAAAGCTTTGGGGTCTCAGCCCAGGTAAGGTTCACGAGGGTTCCACCAGGGTTCCACCAGGGTTCCACCAGGTTTCACGAGGTGCGAGCACTAAAAAGAGCACCGCATGCTGCTGGGGATATCACCTGAGCGTATTTGTTTTCCGGCGGAGAAGAATCCGTTCAGAAAGCTCCATGAAACGAGATGATCCTTCTGTAAATGGGGGTCCATATGCCGGGAAAGAGCCCCAAGATGTCTTTTGGTATTTGTTGGGGGAATGAGTGGATGAAATCCGTTGAGAAACTCGGAATGAAATGATATGATCCGGGATCCATATTCCGTAAAAGGCCCCGAAATGACCCTGGGTAAGGCTTTGATCATTTAGTGGGACATATCATCCTTTTTAGTTGGTTTTTCCAACGGTCATCCTATGTAAAGGACCTTTTGATCAGCCCACACGATTCAACCATGGTACCCTCACCCTTTCAAGATCGAACCTGACGAACGGGACCCGGTCCCTTTAAAAGGAACATGGTCTTTGTGGACCCCCCGCACGTCAGGTTCTCATGTTATTTGGTGGGAGAATAGTATGAACCCTTGTGTTGTCCTATAGTTGTCGAGTTAGCAATTTGTTAGCAATTGGGACTTTTCAGCTCCAATGGGTATACAACCGAACCAACAACTTACTTGGCGAATCGAACACCCAAGTCGGGGAGAGCCCTATCTAGCTGGCTGGAGGGGAGCCGTTACGGAGCTGGGGGTATCCAAGGAGCTACCAGGAGTTCTGTAAGGACATTGTAGCTGTGCCCTATTGTTGATGTTCGCGAAATCCATTTCTCACCGTTCAGCAACCCTGGAATGAAATAAAATCCCCCTTTAAATACCCACACACACACACCGGTTTCAACCATGGTTTCTTAGGTGGTGTGAAATGGATTCGTCCTTCCACAGTACGAACCCTTCTGTTTTCAACTAGGGGATCCCTGCGGAATACGTTCATTTTTGCCATCTTGGGAATTGGAATGACGTGAAGCATCCATGTTGTGGCTTCGGTTGGCTGAGCCGGTTCGCGGTGGCCTATTGAGAAATATGCCGTGTGTAGTGGTCCCGGGTTCCTAAGAAGGAGGTCCTGGAACGAAAGCATGGTGGGTTGAGCTGTGACAGATGGTTGACTGCAGTCCCGACACTTGGCTGATAAACAATTTTCAGAAACGTAGTATGCACCTATATGACAATACGTATATACATTATATATATATATATACACATGCTGAGCCGACCCCCCCATCATCTACCTTTTGCACATCATTCCTGTTTGTGTTCTGTCACATCCTCAAATGTAATGCGAATGTTTCTGGAAAGATGTCCCACCTGCAGATCATTGAATATAATTACTGTTTGTGTTGTGTCCCATTTGCACATTTATATCGACTCCATTATGTTCAAAAATTGAACGTCTAACAAGAGTTCATCGTTTTTTAGTTCTACTCAACTTCTAAGTTTAAGCGAAATCCTTTTGGAAACGGAATTCCTATTTGAAAACTATATCAAAACTGAAATGTTGATTAAACTCGTTCCCGTCCCTACGAAATTATACTACAACTATTAGCATGACAATTATGTTTGGAAAGGAGTTCCTCTGTAGAATAGATCATTGCGAATAGAACATCGAATTGATTTAAGTTCATTAAATTCTGTCCAACATTCTTTTAATCAACATCCTGTTTGGTATAAGGAGCCTTGACAGGATAAAGGAGGTTTATGACGGAGCTTCATAAGAGGTCTTATGAGGAAACAAGCAGTTTTAGGTGGATTTGCACAAGGAGAGGAGCCTTGAAAAAGATCTTATACAAGGATCTTTATAACTAGCCCTACAAGGAGCTTTGTACGGAGCCCTACAAGAAGCTTTGAAGAGAGCTTTATACGGAGCCTCGTATGGAACCTTATAAGCAGCTTTATGAGGCTTGGTTTCCAGAATTTACAGTCAGCTGTTGAATTCTGCTTAAGACCCGAAATCCTAAATTAACTCTGTCCTTATTGACCTGTATTTAGATCCTAATATCTATCAAAGCCTAATTCGGTATGACATTCCTCTTTTCAGTCTAACAATCTAAACTGAGGTGTTCAGCAAAAGATGTCGATACATACCTTTAAAGCAGGGCGCGTGCATAAATAGTCACACCTTCAGCACTTGCTGGCTCGGACTGAATGAGGGAATGAGCCCTATGCGCCATCCCTTTCGTTTGCCTGAAACAGCTCATTCTCAAAACCCTACTTGGGGGTTCGGCCAATTGAAGCAGTAATTTGTTGGTAACCTAGGTCATAAACCACTTTTTGAGTGCCCCTAAGTTTGATCAACCTTGTTCTTCATGGCGTTATACCCCAAGTGGCCACCACCTTACTAACTTGAGCCACAAATATCCAAGAAGGAAAGCGCTTAGGGGTCAGAGCTACCCTCCTTAACTGCTATTGGGTTGGATCTTTAGACTTTAACTTTTTGGGAAATCAAGTTGGGTTTTCCACTAAACCCCCAACAAGTGGTTCACTTTTTGCAGGGGGGGTCAACGGCAACCAAGCCTCCCAGCAATTAACATGGAGCCAACCTGACGTTGGACGTTCGTGCGTCCGAGGCCGAGGGTCCCGGCCCAGAGATGTCCCAGGCACGGAGAAGTAACACTTTGGGATGGGGTTCTTGAAATCCGAGCTGAAAAGTCAACAGCAAAGATATTTGGTTTCCGTTGGTATTTTTTTGGTCTCCTTTGGTCCCCATTGGTCTCGCCAAGCGGTCTACTCTTACGGGGGTTTTGGAGCACCCGTGTCAAGTGAAGGAGCGGAAAGAGATCGAATGCCATCCATTCGTTCCATGTTTGGTGCTCAGATCCATGAATCCAAAACCTCGCCGATAAGGGATGTACCACAAGCATGATGGTCCCGCCACCCCGTTAAGGGTTGGGACCATTCTTGGAGTGGGTCATGACCAAATTCCAGGCTGAAAACAATGAGCCCAGACCCATGGAAGTACATCGGGACCCAAGTTGTTTCTTTGGCGTGGGAAATATGCGGCCACCAATTGCACTCCCGCAATGTGGAACGAATGGATGCCTCTTTGACGTTTGCAGAAGATGTTTAAGAGAAGGGTGCTCATCGACTCAAGGTCAAGCGGATGGCAAACAGTCACCAGTTGCATCAGGACGTTGCAGAGTCACGAGCCTGGGTCGTTGCTTACCTTCTATGAGAGCCGCGTTTGACCTCATCTTGAGGTAAGGACCGTTCTATAATTTGTCCAAGGTTCTGAACTTTTGGATGCCAGATTTGGCCAAAAAACCCTCAACGCGAACACCTGGGCCATAATCAAAGTCCGGGTAAGAGAAGGTTAGTATCGGAAAATCCCAACCATAAATGGTTGCTTTCGCCGCCTTTTTACTGCTTTACATTTCTCTGGGACTACGACCATTTCAATACCCATCGTTATTGATTGTTTCTCACCTGTTGAGTCCCTAGAGGGAAGTTTGTGGTGGCAACTCTTTTGTTTGGACCCTTCGGGGCATTTTGAGTGAGACGGAATTGGGCCAAGTGCCTCGGGTGTATTGTGATGGTATTGAAGATATTCTGTATCACGAGAGGATTCCTTTCGGGGTTGGGGTTCCTGACGGTCCGTTAGGGTTCCCTGAGGTTTCTTAGGGTTTCCTTGAGATTCCACGTGCCCATCCCCCGTTTTGGAAGGCGAGACAGCGAATCCGCATGCGATGGGAGTCCTTGTGATGGATGCAAAAGGTAGCCTGCGATCCTCAGGGAAATCGAACGGGTGCTTACTCAACGGGCTTCTTCGGTGGTTAAAGCAGGCGCAACCCTGCTGGAATCAAGCCAAAACCGATTCGGGTGGGCACTGGGCAGTCAAATTCCAGAACATGTGTCTGCCTTTGTAGATCACTGTGTGATGTTTCTTGGTGGCTCCCAGCCATCCAGTTCCTTAGCTTTTGAGCCTTTCAGTATCTAGTGGTGGTTTCCATTTAACCCACTAAAAGTTAGTCACTTTTAGCAGGGGATCTGAGGGTAGTTGGCAAATACCGAAAGCAACTCGCTGTGAAAGAAACCCAAGGTCCCCCAGCCAGGTGCCCTTTCTCACCCCTTTTTTGGGGGCGGGAGGAGTTCCCCTACTAAAATTGACTACAGAAAGTTGTTTGGTCCTCCTCTCAAATTTGGAGGACCTAGTAACCAATGCTTGGTCAACTGTTGTTTCCATACTCCGCGCTAAGCAAGTGCAGATGCAAGAGATGCAAGAAAGGAGGAACCTGAGGCCGACTCACTTGTTCGCCTGCTGCAGCTGTTACAGGACCTACTTGAGGTCCATGCGATGAGGATGAGTGGCACGCGCCTGGATTTTCCCAGCCATCCTCCCGAGTCGGAAAAACGAGCAGCACAATGTTTGCCCCATCCAGAATTCGGACCAAAGCAACCAGCACACCACACAAGGTTTCTCATGCAAACACTGCAGAAATGCGCATCCGCATTTCACTTTGATTTTCTCTGAAGGGAAAAAACGGCAGTTTGCCTCAAGTCACTTTTTTTGTTGTTTTCTTCGGAGGCCGGAGGCCTTTGGATTTTGGGCTTCGCCCCCCGAAGTTTGGGCTTCGGGGCTCGCCTGCGCGATGCGGTTCTTCAGAGCTTCCAAGAGCTCCGCACAGGACGGTTCTGTTGGCCGGTCGCGCCGTTGCGCATTTGACCCAAAAACCAAAACCCAGCGCCAAGGTTCTTGAGGGATTTGTTTTTCATCCCTGTTGGATTTCCATGGAAATGGTTCTTGGGATTTGTTATTGCTCACGGCCGGTTGGAGTTCATGGGACATGGTCTTGACCGTTGAATGAGTTGTTTTTTTGCTTCAGTCGCAAAATCCTCTTGGGTTCTCAAGCGAAGAGCTTTCTGGGTTGCCAACATCCGCCACATGCACGACTGAGCAAGTGGTTCCGGGCTACCTTGAAGAGTGCACATTTTGCCCTCTATATAAACTGGGCACAAACCGAACTAGTTGACACTGTTCGTGACCAAAGTGACCTCGATTCGCCTCCGTGTGACACTCAAATGACACGCGTTGACCCTCACATCGGAATTCAATGCGCAAACCACTGCTTGCACTTCAGTTGGCCATGCTTTTGTTTACAAGCTCGCTTGAGAATAAGACTTTGCACGCTCTAAGGCAAAAGAGGCCAGAAAAGCCAAAAAGAAGCCACTTACGGCCCCGACACTCAGTTCAGTGGCCCCGTTTCATTTTGTTTGGTCTAAGTGGCTTCCATTTGAGGTGACTAAAAGGAAGCTGGTTCAGGGGTTTTGGCTGAGATATCTGTGTGTGTGTGTGCGAATCGCCTCGCAGAAGCCTTGAGCTTTCAGCGCATGGGCCGCGCCGTGTTCTTCCACCCTCGTTCTTCGTCCGGGAGTCAGGGCTTTCGGTGCTTCGCGGATCGCACATCGGATCGACGAATCGAGCCGTCAGGAGGATAGCACTGCAAAGGCAGATGCCAGTGAGAAGAGCACCACCGACAAAGGCGGGGCTCGTCCGGTCAGAGAGCTCTGATTTCGGCATTTTGGTTAAGAAGAAGAGGGGCTTCACACAGCTTGGGTAAGAAGACGGAATTCCAGGCAATGCCTGGAAAAGCAGGAGCCAGCGACACGCCTGGCAGGCATCCAGAAAATTTTCGAGGGGTTAGGTGGCGTACGTAAGGCAGATTCATGGTTGTTGTTGGGAAGCATTGGACACATTTTTGCCTCTTGTGGTTTAGTGGCTGAAATCCAAATCCACTTGGCTGCTAAAATCTGAGGATTTTTGCTCCCCGTCCAACGTCAACCAAGGATCAAGTGTTGGTTTCCGCGTGCCCCGCAAGCTTCAAGTGGCTGCCGGAAGCAGTCCTGCTGGCACTGAAATGCGGGGCGAGTTGGGGGAAGGGGGGGATGTGCACGTGCATTTTGCCAAGGGATGTTAGGACTGAATAACTTGGTTTTGCCAACTCACGGGGTTTCAATTGTTTTCCATGAACTTTTTAGCAGTCATGACTTTAACTTTAGTGGTTTTCTGTATTAAACCACCTACCTCATCGCGCGTTAATTCCTGTCAAAGGCTGCATGGCGAGCCGCCCTTTTGCTGGTTTGAGCAAACCTTCGAATCTCAGGGACACGCGTTGGATTTGTTTTTGCAACCCGCACAATGCAAAGAAGCGCCCAGGAAAATGCTCCGTTTCACCAAGCCCTGTCTATCCCAGATTCTTTGCATGACTTCCCCTTTATGGGCATCATTCCATGAGGCACTCAGACGGCGAAAAGGTGATGTGTGTTTTTCGCTTGCCACCAAAAGTTCGCAAAGCCCCGGAGCCTTGGATTTGTTGACCCTTCACTGGCCCAATACTTAAGTCTTTGTTTTGTCTTAGTGGTTGGTAAGCCTGGTTGAAACCCGGCAATTGTTACAAGTCTCCGTTCAGTGGCTTATGACCAGGCTTACCAACCTACTAAGACAAAAAGCCCCTTGCTAAGACAAAAAGACCATTCACTGGCCCAGTAAGGCTCTTTCATGAAAGACCGCGGTGCAGTGCCCAGGTCTGTGCACGGTCCAAGAAGACAGTCGCGGGCTCAGTGGAAAGCAGCGCCCAGGATGTTAGGGTACCTTGGAGCGAATCGGCCGCTTCCTGAAGGCTTTGTAGTTGATTTTGGTGGGTTTAGTTGGGTTTCCGAGTTTAACCGCTAAACCCTTTAATATTTTTTTAGCGGGGGATTCGAGGTGAGTATAGCAATCACTTGGTACATGGGCCAAGTGTGAGCCTTTGGGCAATCCAAAGCCAGGGCACTCTACCAAAATTGGCGAAGTGATTCTTAGTCACTCGGTTCCGCAAGAAGACTTCAAGGAGCTACAGGGATCGAGTTTGGTATTGATGGCATCGTGAAATGTCCAAATTCTGCCACTCACTTCCTGACTTCATGAACTTTAAACTTTTTGGGTTTGGACCATTTTAGTGGTAAATATAAAGTTTGAACTTTTTTTGGGCCATCCACTCAGCAGGTGAGGCCATCATAGCCAACATCAATACGAAACCCCCAATAAAGGATGGACTTGATCCGATCCAACTGATCCAACTGGGACTGAGACACCTTCGGTCGTGAGGGCTTTGGCACGGATCGGCCGTTTGGTTCTCGGCCCCAAGATGAAGGTCCTTCTGCTGAAAACGACTGTGGGTCATGGTCAAGGTTCCTTTCACAGAAAGCCATGCCATGACAATCCCAAGAACATTTAAAAGAACAAAATACACCCAAGAAAGGCCAAGTTCACCGCACAGACCAGTGAATTCTGCAAACAGGTGGTTGGGGTACCATATATATATATATATGTCTGTGCTTCGAGCTGAATCTATCGAGATTTTCCGGAAGGCAACAACTCGGAAGGCAACAACTCGGACCTTTGGCATTTAAATACACCCTGCCGCCAACAGCCAATATCTGATTTGTTTGCGCCAGTAAGCCATCCGCACTTCGAGCTTGGTGGTAGGTTGAACCCGACAGGTAAGTCACAGGATTGGGAAGTGCACACCCATGAGAACTGATAGAGGTGTCTTGGGCATTCCCCTTTTTTTTTTCCTTTTTTTTTTTTTTTTCGTGACCTCAAAACCACCTGGGCCACAATGAAAAAAGTCGGCTAGAGGAAGGTTACTAAGGGATAAACCCAACCAGAAGCGGGTGCCGTCGCCTTTTTTAAGTCTTTACATGGATTTGGGTAGACCGTGTTAGATGATTAAGGCCGGGGCCAACCTGAAGCTGCAAACCTTATCGCCATGCGTCAAAACCTGTTGACTCCTGTCCTTCTTTAATGGTACCCCCTCAAATGGTAACTAGGTCCCCCAGTAGTGCGCTTCTCCGCCCTTTTTGGGGGGAAGGTTCCCCTACTAAAGTAGACTACCGAAAAAAGGGTACCCTTATTCTAACCTCTCAAATCTGGAGGACCTAGGTAAAGTGTTCCTTTTGGATTCCGTTGGAAAAACCACCAAAAGCACACCGGGCACCCAAAGAACAAACCTGTTGACCCCTGTCCTTTTTTAAGGTTACCCCCCGAAAATGGTACAGTGTTCCTTTCGGATTCCATTGAAATCCACCCAAAGGACGCCGGGCACCAAAAACCAAGGAGGCACGGTCCAGCAACCCTTCCCCTCCTTTGGCCTCCCAGCGGTCGGACCGCTTCGGGTTCTCGCCTCAGGCGAGTCGCTGTTTACCCGCGCGAAGGCGCCAGGCGCAGCGCAAGCGCCCGGAGTCGGGGAGAGATTTGAGCTCTAAAATGCCTGAGGAAACTTGGTGGCTCCCAGCCATACCCTCAGTGCTGAGTAGTAGTGTTGAGTAGTTTTAGTCTTTTAGTGTTGAGTAGTAGTTTCCATCTAACCAAAAGTTAGTCACTTTTAGCGGGGGATGTGAGGGCAGCCCAGGAAATGAAAGGAGGTTTGATGTCACAAGAAATGAAAAAGCACATGAAATCCCACTTCCCTCCTCTCTTTCTACCTCCTTCTTTTCCTTTTTGTCCAAAAGACACAAAAAAAAGGTCTTGCAACAAGGGCTTCCTCCTATGGATGGTTGCGAAATCCAAATCGCAGCGCAAAAGGAAACCATGGTATAACCATAAGGCTTGTTTACAGTATTTATGTTGAATCGAAACAGAAACCAGGGTTGAACGGTGAACGGTGGTGCGAAGTGGATTTCGTCCATCCACAGTATTACTTGCTGGTTCGATACGGAAATGAGAAAGGGAATATCCACCCTATGATTTATTCCCGACTGAGCACCAGCAAGATTAAGGGGCTTACCAAGAAGAAAATTATCCTCAGCATTTAAAGAGAGGTTGACATTACAAGATTTGCCATCTTGCGGTACCTTGAGTAAATGGAAGAAGTCTGGCTCAAAGGTCTGCATCCGCAAGCCCTGCCCACTCGCACCGCCGAATTTATTGTGGCAGTGGCGCCTTCTCGGCTGAGACTACCACGCGGTTCTTCCCTTGCTAACCAGGGCACTCAGCAAAGCGAACATGTTACCGTCTGGGGACTAAGGTGGTTTCAAACTTGTAAACCAAAGAACCGCCATGAGATGCCTTTTTTTGTAGTTATCAGCACACTAAATCCTCAGTTGTCCAGTGGAATCCACCTGAAACAACCATGTTTCTGTGGTGTTCCGACTGTGCGCGGAAGGAAGGACGGCGGAAGAGATGTAGAAAGGGCTAGTCGGGCTGTTTAAAGGGAACCGTGAATCCTTACCTTGGTTTATGTAAGGGATCCCCGACTGAAAACCATGACCAAAAGCCCAACAAGAACTTGCGCTTTAGATTTGCAAGGGCGCGGAATTGTGGAGAAGCTTCGCGGAAGGGGGAATGTATACTTTTCAGGAGAAGTATTCTTGCACAGCCCGCCAAATGACTTTCAGGTGAAGGATCGGCAAGCAATTGTCTACGTACACACACACAACTTTTACCATCTCGGGGGTCTTAAATCACAGCTTTCAGGATTCATGTACTGCCTGCCTCTTTGCTGCGCGCTTGGATGCCTGAATCGGCCCCACGCTGTCCTAAGCCGGGATTCCTCTGAGGATTTGGGCTGGTTTCACCCACTTGGCATGCGCTGCATCTGCCCCTCCCTTTCTCTTTCCGCAGGCTCGCCAGCGTATGTCACCAACACCGAGTTTGTGATGGATACTTGGCCGCTCAAAGCTAGGGGACCCTAAGATTCCATGCATTGTGTAAGAAGATGGGGGGCCCCCCTGAGGGGCCACAGTCCTGAGGGGCCACAGGGCCACAGTCAACACGTCCTAGCTTGAAATTTCCAAGAGGAGTTGGGATATTCATGAGTAAAGAACGATACCTGGGAAGAATGTTTAGAGTTTCACCGAACATGCGCGAGACCTTGAGCATTTGCGCAAGCCTTGATCTTCCTGCAAAGGTGGCCTTTTGAGCTAAACTTCCAACTTTGCGAGGGCGAGGTTTTTGTTTTTTTTGCCAGTGGATGGAGCATTGCTCTGGTCAGCCGACTCACCTTCAGCTGTTTTGGATGCGCAGTGTGCCTTGTCGACCCATCGACCCATCGACCCGCCTCCGGTCACGAAAACACAGGCAGACAAGCCAAAAGTGGGAGCCAGCTCTGGGGAGAAACCAGCTCACCGCTGAAGGTCGTTGTCTGGGGGATCTTTCCTCAGCTACAAACACGCAGAGATCCACGAGGGGAATGGGGGTCACGTTTCCACACCGAGAAGCTTTGGATGTGCCATCCCCAAGAGAAAACAACAAACAAAAACATGTTCTGTTGTTTAGTTCTGCCTTAAACTTTGTTCTGCCTTAAATTAACCCCACAACCGGTATCCGCAAAGTGACCAGCGAAGCGATTGGGTTTGCTCGTCTCTGAGGAGCAGAAGGCGGATAGCTTCACCTTGCCTCACAAGGACGCCCGCAGGGTTCACGTGGCTCTCAGCAGGGAATGAGGGAATGAGCCCTATAGACCATCCCTAGGTTCATTCCCAAGACGCTGAGTCATTCCCTAGGCACAAGCTGTTTTAAAAGGGTTACCACCCTTTGGACAAGGCCTGGCTGCAACTCTGGAATGGACGGAGGAGGGATAGCCCGGGCCTTTGGTGCCTAAACAAACCCCAAAAAAGTCTCAGGGCTGGAGGTCTGGCGTGGCTTATATGAGCACTGATGTTGGCAGGACTTGGGCCCAATTCTCAACCAAATCCCGAGGCCCCGTCCATTTTGCTTGCGTCTTGGGGAAACAAGTCACCTTCTTCGGGGCAACCAAACTTTTAGATCCGTGGTAGCCAGCTCGGGTTTGGGGTGCCTCTGCTCTCTTTCCGAATGTTTTACCCATCCCGGGGAATGGAAATCCCCTCAGGCCTTTGCTTGCAACAAACAACCAGCACTGAAAAGAGTATGATGTTTCAAAAAGCACTCCAGGCATATATATTTTTCTTGCTGGTCCTCAGGGAAAGAGTTGGAACGACCCTGAAAAAAACCATCCCCTACGGTTTTCTTTAAGGAAGTTCTCTTCCGGTTCATCCCCAAAACCCTGGGGGATTCCCTACTGAGCACCCTCAATTTTTACATCAGTCGGACGATTGGCCCCATGGCGGCGCGGCCCCTTCTGATGTGAAAAGGGATCTTGAACCGTTCCCATGTTGTAGCCCCGTTGTTCTTGAGGATGTCGATATGGCTGTGAGTCAAAAATAGGTGCCCAAAATGGAGCCCGGGTAAACGGAAACATGGACTAACATCAGCGGTCCCCTGGTGGTTTAATCTTGACCGATGCCCATATGTGTTTCTTTGAGTTTTCTTAAAGGATGCTTTTGACAAGCTCTTTGCCAACCGCATTTGAGAACTCCTCGGGAAGATCCACTCACGTTCGGAGTTTCTGGACTTCGGCAACTATTTTGGAAGAGCATGTTCGTTGTATTCAATGTATGTATGCATATAACTATATATAGGGGTGTATATATATATATATATACATACATATGTATCGTGGCTCGTTCGACACGCTTCGAGAAAAACAACTCAGGGGAAGTCCGCTGGCATGCAACTCTTTGGTTGCTTCCAATGGTCCTGGCCGGCTCCAAGTCTTTTGCTGCCTGCACACAACTTTTGCTGCGGACATGTGTTTCCTGAAGCTCCATTTGCGCGACCAACAGTTTTTGCGTTCCTCTCCAGACGTTGAACTGGATATGGTGTTGCTCCACATGAAAGAGCTAGGGTTACGCAGGTGTTGGTTCCATTTGACTTTTGGTGCCATTTTGGGATCCATGTTTTTGAGCCGCCATATTTTTTGCGCGTGTGTTGAGGAGTGCAAACGCCGAGTTGAGTTCTTCCCTCCCGAGGACTGGCGTGCGATCAGCACTCCAACGAACTCTTTTGGGCGCGGGTTCCTGGGCATTGGGACCGATTGGAGATGAAAGGACCGGAGAATTGCACCCGGACTGGCTCATATAAGCCTAGGTCCCCCAGGATCGTGCCCTTTTACCCTTTTTTGGGGGAGGGTTCTCCTACGACTAACATAGACTACAGAAAAAGGGTACCCTTATTCTAACCTCTCCACTGGAGTACCTAGTATGAGCTGCACCCTGCTTTTGTGGCCCAAGATCCATGACTTCAACGGTAAAGCAAGCGGATGTACTCATGGTTAGTTGGTAAACTCTCTATTTGATGTACCCGTCTTGGCCCAGATGCCTAGTAATATTCCCCCCCTTTTGGGCAAACGACAGCCCACACACACACACACTCGTCCATGCCCATCAATGCAGTTGTGCTTTGCAGGCTGCGCAGGAAATCTACCAAGGCTCCAAAACCGAACTTGAGCAGAATGGCAAGTTGAAGCTGATTGAACATCCGCTGGAGACTAGGAGAAGTGATGAGGAGGCTAAAGTAGGTGAACGCTGGTCCTGGGCAAGCTAAGGGCATTTCCGGGCACACAGCAGGGAAGCTTTGAGTGCAAAAGTGAACGAACAACCATGGTAAATTCAAAACAAATCAGGAAGCCATGACCACGGCTTAAAGGAGTTTTGACCTCGGAACTTGTGAGTCAGAATGGTCAAGATGCTCTCTTGGATTGATTCGCTTCACAGGCGACATTTGAATTTGCACCCTTGGCTGGGCTGCAGCCTTACTCCTTTGCTTTATGAACGTCCCTCTTTGTTCAAAGGATTACCCTCCTTTGGGCGATTCCATAGCCAGCAGGACTCCGAACTGGAAGACTTGGGTCCTTTCAGAGCCTTCTGGGAGCTTCCGGCGGTCAGTCTGAAGTGCAGCGCACCAGCATCAACCCTTCATTTTGCAGATGTGGCTGTGGCTCAACAAAAATGTACTCAAAATGGCCTCTAGGTATGTGGAGGTAAAGGGAACCAAGACCACCAACACCAGCGTAACCCTAGCTCTTAAATTTCGAGCCACACCCATGTACCAACCCTCCGTTTTCAACAGGTACACCGTACATGCACAGGGCATAGGCTAGACACGCCAACACGCTTTTGGGCCTGTGGGTTTGGCTCGGCCAAAAGATGTGTGGTTTCCTTGGAAGCTTCCACTTACCGAAACACTCATTCCGGGAGTTCCTACGCTTTAGTCACTTTTGGGGGGTTTGGACCAGTTTGGTAGTAACTCAAAAGTACAGACCTCTTTTGTTTGCTGTTTGCAGCTCTGATCCAACCTTTGCGTCCCGAGGTCCGACTACGATGCCCGGGAGCGTGACGAGGGCCGGGAGCTCGGCGAGCCTTCGTGCGCACGAAAGACCAGGGAACGAGGCCTAACTTGGATGTTCGGTCGGGTTGAGTGGTTAGCCACTTGGGTTAGAACTCCCAACGAACAAGGTTAATCCCACTGAACAGGGGGCTTACTTGGCTGTGGCTCAAAAAATAGTACTCAAAATGGCATCTTGGTATATGGAAGCCAAGATTAAAACCTGCATAACTCCCCGTTGCTTAATTTGGAGCCACAGCCTTATAAGTGGGTTACAACCCAGGATACAAACAACTTACCAACTTGGCTGAACATCGAACACGCAAGTAATGTTGGATGGGCAAGCAGTTCCAGGAAGACATGAATGATCACTTCTGGTTGTCTTTCAACCCCGTCCTTGCCGAGAGGCCAGAGACATGTATTGCTTGGCCTAATGACCCAAATCTCCCTTATGGAAGTTTTTGAGTATGTCTAGACAAAGGGTTCAAGTAGTTTTGAAGTTTCTGATTTCTGCGTGAGGCGGGTGAGGGGTTGGAAACAGATCTCCTCGATCACAGCCGCCCGAAGGCGGGGGAGATCTCCTTTTTATCGAGGTTTCTTAGATTTCAGCATGAGGCCTTTGCTGTTGGATTTTATTTTTTTATTTTTTTAGTCTGTTATTAAATCTGTTTTTTTCTAGGTTTTGGGGGCTTTCGTCGGTTATTACTACCTTACCTGCCTTTGTCGACGCCGACCGAAGGCGGTTTCCCCGGCTATGGGTCTCGGAGCGACTCTCTGCCCAGCTCTGGGGGTGCCAAAACGGGGTTCCAATTTTTTGTGAACCTACAACAGGTTTTTGTGGGTTGTCCTCTCAAACAAAAAGGCAGGTGTTGGTTGGAAAACAATTTCTAGGTTTTGTTTCTAAAAGAGCTTCCAATTTGTTAGGTTTTGTTTTGGCGTTGTTTCGGTGTTTTCGAGGTACTCCTTTTTTCCTCTCAAAAACAACCCACCTAGAAGGGAGTACCAACTCTTCCAAAATGGTGGTGTTCCAATTTTTGGTTTCTAAAACAAACCAAAAAGGGACACACCTCAAGGGTCCCCTCGCGGCTTCGGACTTTCTCAGGTCCGCCTCCCACCGGCAGCTTCGGGGGCATGTCCAGCTACAGCCACCACCAGCAGGCGTGAGGGGTTGGTCTGCTTCAACACCCCGACCCTTCAAACATCTCCCTTGGAAGTGTCCACTAAATGGGCGGGGCGGGCAAAAACCTTGCCGTGAAGTGTTTTTGTTTTTTGTAAGTCGACAGGGGGAGCTTTAAACCGTGTGTTTCCTTTACTTACCTCTTAAAAACACAACTTTTCAACTTTTTGGGTAACATGGGCTATATGTCTGTAAAAGATTAACTTCCCCAGGGCTTGGAGTTTTAAGGGGTAAGGGACAATCCCAACCATAAATAGCTGCGGATATCCGCCTTCTTAATTCTTTGCAAGGTTCTGGGTAGACCATTTTATTACCGGGTTTTGATTATGACTCACCTGGACATCATCAAAACACCTTGACACCACCAAAACACAAAACAGGGGAAATCACCAAAACACGACTGGAACACCACCAGGACACGCCAGCCGGGACACAACCCGAACAGCAGCGGGACACCAACGGGACATCGGGACACCGCCAGGGCGCCCCTTAAAAAAAGCGCACGGACTCCTCAACAGAGTCGGGGAGCCCATGGACATTAGTGGGGAATATGTCTTTGAATGCATAAACTCGGCGATCTGAGCAACAGACATTATCGTTTACCTGGGTTGCCGGGGTGCGGTGTCGGTTTATGGGTGATCCCCTATCTGGAATTGCGGGTGAAGAGCTTCTGTGGATGGGCCAACTTCCGCACCAGTTGGTAGGTGGTTTGCATGCGGGATTGTGTGTTTTGATCCACCTTTTTGCGGGTATTCTGATCATTTGCCATGGTCGCAACCTCTTACTTGGGCAGGGAATATCCACTGTCTTGTCGGATATTCATCATTTGCCATGGTCACAACCTCTTACTTGGGCTTGGCAGGGATGTATTCATCCTTATTTGCCATGGTCACAACCTCTTACTTGGGCTTAGGGATGGTCATGGGCCTTTCAGCTTTTTGCATGGTGTTCAACGAGCATGAACCAACCAGCTAGTTGGAGCGGGGCGGAGCGGAGGAGAGCCACGGAGCTGGGGGGTATGCTGAGGAAGCTAAGGAGCTGGTCCTGTCAGGACATGCTAGGAGTTTGATGATACGTTGGTTGCTTCCGTTCGCATTTAAAATAATATGTTTTTATTTATGTTGTTCTGCTTTTGCCGATGACACCGTGTCTTCTGTTTGCATTTAAGATAATATGTTTTAAGATATGTTTTTTGCCCTTATCTTAAAGGGAACCGATCTCACTACTGGAAAGATGTTCTCATTTTTTCCAGGGCGCAAAAGCAAATGGATGTTGTCATGGAACACCCGCAAAGCTTGGTGACGTTTTTCAGAGTATTCATGCAGACAGGGTGACTTATTAAGCGTCATACCCATGGACATGTGTTCATCACCCCCTTAATAGGGGATTTAGACAACTAGCGTCAGGGTTCCTAGTAAGTTGCCGCCGGAGAGACAGGGAGAGCAAGAGAGATAGCAAACAGACAAAGTTGAAAGGCTACGGCTTTTGTTTCATCATCAACCCCCTTTTAGTTGAAAATAAGGGAAACCAAAACGGACCCCCCCTTTTTGAGAAACATACTGTGGATGGACAAAATCCTGCACAAGTCGGGATGAAAAAATAACCACCAACCGACTGCTGCAAACTGGGTTTTGCCCATCCACATGACAATCACGCAATCAATCATTCAATCCATCCGTCCGTCCATCCATCCGTCCGTCCATCCATCCATCCATCCATTCACAATCCATCCATCCATCCATCCATCCATCAAGCCATCAAGCCATCAAGCCATCAGTCAGTCAGTCAGTCATTCAAAACAATCCAGCAAGTAAGCAGGCTAACTCGCTCGCTCGCTTAACCAACCAACCAAACAATCAAGCAACCAACCAAGCAACCAACCAAGCAACCAACCAAGAAACCAACCAACCAAGCAACCAAGCAAGCAGCCAACCAAGCAACCAGCCAAGAAACCAACCAAGCAACAAGCCAAGCAACCAAGCAAGCAGCCAACCACGCAACCAAGCAAGCAAGCAAGCAAGAAACCAATCAATGAAGCCATCAAGCAAGCAATCAAGGAAGCAACCAACCAACCAACCAACTAACCAACCAACCAGCCAGCCAGCCAGCCAGCCAGCCAGTCAGCGAATCAGTCACTCAGTCAAATCAGACAAATGATCAATTCAACCAATGAATCAAACGGTTTTCGGTGAGGAAGAACCGCAAGCGACATGTGGATTTGCGTCCTGCGAGGGCGTGACTTCTTGGGGCTCAACGACTACTCACTTTGCGCCTTGGTGAGAAGAGACGCTTCCAACCCACCCCCCAGCTCCCCGTCCGTTCCCTCCAAGCGGCGCTTTTTTTTGCGGGTGGGTTCCTAGGAAGTCCCGACAGAAATGCGGTGGAAAACCATTTTGTGTGTTTTCTAACCCATGAAATGGGGGCCCAGCAGGTTTTTGGTTTCTTGTGTTTTCTTGTGTTGAGCTTTGGGGGCCAAACAAAGCAAACCGTGACCCCCAGGTTTTGGAAACTTTGAGTCTTCTCCCTTCTGCTTTTTGTAGGGGCCCACAGGAAGCCGAATGGAAACCTTTGGGAAGCCTGAAGTCCTGAAGCGAAGGGTTTTTCGACGCTGAGCAACCCTTGGCCACTTCGGGACATGCCCGAATTTCTCGGCCTGGGCATTGGAAAACGCCAATGGAGCCTTGCAAACAAAAGGGACCAGCGAAGACTTGGTTTTTCAAGCCACTTGGGGAGCAATCAAGCTTTACAAGGGAACTCAGACCTATCCTTCCAGGTCAATGGCAACCATGCACCTCCCCTAGCCTTGGGGGGGTCCTGGAAGACCTTTTGAGGCTTTCTCTGGTTTCAGAGCAACACGGGTAAGTGGGCTGAAGATCAATTCGGGTGAAACGAAGCGACCGAGCAACTTTTGGATGCGGCCTCCACGATCCAGCTTTGTTTGTTTTTCAAGTCCAAGCAGAAGGCGTGAAAGCAAGGGGACTGGCTATACATATTCTGGGCTGTTCAAAGGCAATCCTGTTCAAAGCAGGTCGAACAAATGAAGTTCGTGTCTGCAATCTCGAGGCTTGGGGGAAACAAAATGACATATCAAGAAAACCCATTTTGAGCCATTGTTTATATAGACTCGCCTCTGCTAAGTCCCCCAGTGCCCTTTTACCCTTTTGGGAGGAGGGTTCAGTTCCGCCACTAACATAGACAAAAAACAAGAAAGTACCCTTATTCTAACCTCTCAAGTCTGGAGGACCTGGTTCCTTTCATGTGGATGGACGAACTCATTTTGTTTTGAAGCAGTTGGTCGTGTTCACTGGAGTCAACCTCGGAACGTGAACTGGGATCGAACCCACGAAACCTGGTGGACTGTGGATGGACGAAATGTCCATCTCGCTGGCTCTGGGGCCCAGCTCGCACCTAGGAGTGGCAGGAGTGGCCCTACGGGGCCCCCGGAAACCCCATGCCCTTCGTGCCGCCTGGGCGCGGGGCCTCGGGCCTCGGGAAGCGATGGCCTCGAAACGGGAGGCGATGGCCTGGGAAAAAGCGCTGAGGGGATGCAATGCACCCGGACCCTCAAACTACCTAGGGTCTGACGGTGGTCTGAGGGGTCTGAGGGTCTGAGGGTCTGGGGGGTGTGAGGGTCTGGGGGTCTGAGGGGTCTGAGGGTCTGGGGGTCTGAGGGGTCTGAGGGTCTGAGGGTCTGGGGGTGTGAGGGTCTACGGGTGTGAGGGTCTGAGGGTCTGAGGGTCTGAGGGTCTGGGGGTGAGGGGTCTGAGGGTCTGAGGGTCTGAGGGTCTGGGGGTGTGAGGGTCTGGGGGTCTGAGGGGTCTGAGGGTCTGAGGGTCTGGGGGTGTGAGGGTCTGGGGGTGTGAGGGTCTGAGGGTCTGAGGGTCTGGGGGTGTGAGGGTCTGGGGGTGTGAGGGTCTGAGGGTCTGGGGGTGTGAGGGTCTGGGGGTCTGAGGGGTCTGAGGGTCTGAGGGTCTGGGGGTGTGAGGGTCTGGGGGTGTGAGGGTCTGAGGGTCTGGGGGTGTGAGGGTCTGGGGGTCTGAAGGGTCTGAGGGTCTGAGGGTGTCTGAGGGTCTGGGAGTGTGAGGGTCTGGGGGTCTGAGGGGTCTGAGGCTGGGGGTGTGAGGGTCTGAGGGTCTGGGGGTCTGAGGGTCTGACGGTGGTCTGAGGGTCTGGGGCGGGGTTATTGAAAAATAGAATTTACCCCATCATGTTGGGGCATTTGCAAATTTCTTCAGGGGAAATCAGGTTGCCCGGGCAGGATACTTGGACTTTAAACTAATTAATAATTGCTCAGGGCTCTCTACTCTTTTATGCAAAATGAGCACACAAACACTGGGTCCAAAGTGAACATCTTGAGGTGCTCTCAAACCCACTCGTTGTTTGGTTAAACCAGCAGCGGGAGGGTAATTTTGAGGATGTCACGCTAAAAGAAGAGCCCAAGCTCCCATCATGTCCGAGTCGTTGGACACAGATGTCCGCCAACACATTCCCAAGCCAACCGCATAACCTGCCTAGGGTTGAACTGAATTTGCAAATGAGCGTTTGAGAGGATTTATCTCGTTGTTTCGTCAAATGGGCATATTCTTTTCTGTTGGACCTATTTGCCAGGCTCTTGGTCTGGCGATCTTGCCTCGCTCGCTTTCTTGTGGCTCTTTCTATTGCGACTGCTGGTGGCTCTAGGCATCGGACGAAGCAAAATTCCGACGGCTTTGGGGACCCACACACCCACACACCCAACACCCAAGACACCCACGCAAAACGCATCTCATGGAGTCAGCCGTAACCAGCATGTGAATACTCTACTCCTCGTAATCGATGTACCACAGAAATGCTTTGAACAGGCCATATTGGCAAGCATATTGGCAAGCATATTGGCAAGCATGTTGGCAAGCATGTTGGCAAGACTCGTTAACATATACTGCATACCATTCATGTTATCCACACGATACACTTGTAGAGGTCTACAGAGGAGATAAGAATGCGTCAAGTTCTTTGGCACCAAGGTAGCCTTTGGGCCCACCAACAGGAATGGAGCAGTGCTCCAGCAAACCTAGAAGCAGTGGGCGCCATGAACATGTTTTCGCTTGCTCCCTGTGTGGGACCCCCCTCCCCAAAGAAAATCAGTCCAAAACATACAGCGCCTTGGGTAAGATTAAATTTCACCAAACCTGGAGCTATCTTTGGCGGGTGGTTAGATCAGGTTCAAGTTTTCACATGGCCTTTTTTGCCATGCCATGGCGATACTAGGTCCGCCAGCAGTGCCCTTTCTTACCCTTTTTGGTTGGGAGGGTTCCCCTACTAAAATACACAAAACAGACAAAGTTGGTACCCTTTCTAGGCTCCCAATTCTGGAGGACCTAGCGATAGATCGTGTTTGTGTTTTCTCGTTTTGTCCGTGGCATGCCAGCGGGGTTTGGCTGTTGCGCGCTTTTTGTGGGGAGCATTCCGTGGTTCCACCGAGGACTGAAGAGCCCAGCCCGACAGGCCCTGCAACCCCGGGGGTGCGAAAAGGGACTGCTGCCCGCTTTTGAGCCCAAACCCCCGTGTAGTAATATGGGGGCTGTTCCCCTCCAAAAGTGCTAAATCCCCACTGATCCCAGGGACACCCCCATATTAATACACGGGGTCAACTGCAGGGAAACGATTAATTTTAGATGCTTCCGAACCGCCCAGGGGCTGTTGATGGTCAGCCGACTTATGGCCAGTCACGTAAACGGTTCGAGTCGTGCGGGAGTGGCGCTCTTTTTTGTTCGTCATGTTTATGTTTGGAAGGGTTTGGGTTGGTGGCCGAAACACAAATCAGCGCGTGAGTTCGGAAGCAAAGAACAGAACAAAAGCTGATTCGGGGTTGTTAGCATAGGTGAACCTCCGGAATGGTTTAGGTGAACCTCCAACAAAATGGTTTGTTGCCTTGGGATTCCTTGTACATCAACCCCAAAGACGGAATGGTTTGTTGCCTTGGGATTCCCTGTAAATCAAAGACGAGGTACCCTATTCTATCCTTCTCACCTTGCGGCTCCGAATGTCGCCCGGTTGTTAGTCAACTCGGAGGTTGACCTTTTATTCCAGGTGCCTTGGGCAGGTGAGATCTGTGTTTCAGCTGCGCATCGAATCAACTAGT